GGTCATTATTATCTCAAACTATCCCTTGACCTGCTCGCTGGTGCGAACCTGGATTCGCCAGAGATCCGCTGAACTCCAGCATCCACGATGGTCGCGTAGTGCGGTCTGCAAACAGTCCAAAATGGTCAGCAGTGAACCCGCAACTGACAAAGCGACTACTAAGCTTAAATAGAACCAACCTTAGAACAATGATTGGGACAATAACGGGTCATTGCCTCCTAAATAAACATCTTTTTGTCCTAGGCGCGACAGACAGCCCCCTGTGCAGAGGCTGTTTCAGCGCAGAGGAAACAGTCACCCACGTAGTCCTGGAATGCGAGGCTGTGGCTAATCAACGTGCAGAAATCCTCGGAACAGTGAGGTCGCTCCAGGAAGCCTGTGAAGTGCCCAGGAGACTTATGTGCTTCTGGAAGGAGCTAGGCTGGCTAAATTAGCCTTTAACGCACAACGGAACAATCAGGAGTCTAATTGCGGAAAATTAGTCCTATAACCCTAACCCTAACCCCTATCTCAAAGGGTTGGCGTCTCCCGCCGGGCCCTGGCGAGAACTACTCCGGAAATATCGTCATAATATTTATGCGAGTCGGGGCCAACTCCAAAATACAATATTTTTTTTAAACACAACTTAATATAATAGGTTCTAATAATAAATGGACAAAAATTATTACAGAATTGCAACCACGCGATGGAAAAAGGACAAGAGGAAGACAGGGCAAGAGATGGGCAGACGATATAAAGAGAATAGGAGGCACAACTTGGTCAAGAAGAACAAACATCAGAAAAGAATGGAGCAGCTGAAAGAGGCATATGTGTCACAGGACACGCTGATTACCAAAAACGCGTCATATGTTGTATTGGATTAAGTTATGTTATGTAACTTAGATAAGTATAAATATATTATACTGGGTGTCAGCAATAAAGGCTTAATAATAATAATAATAATAAAGGGAAATACGGTTTGAACCAACCAAAAATCAAGTTTGTAATTGTCAAAATTGTTTTTTTTTTAATGGCTCTGGCACGATTTGTGCATTAGCCAGCGTCGAGTATAGGTTTTTTTATAATTCGTGCTTGTCTTTAGAAATTCGACCGTGTCCTCCATTCACGGTTTAAGCACTCGCCTGGTACCGCACAACCCTTCCAAAGGCCGAGAACAAATTTAAATTAAATTAAAACTTGCCCTCGAACCGGGAATCGAACCCGGTACCCCTCACCTAGCTGCCAAAAAAAATTGAATTGAAAGCCAACTTTGTATTTGTCTGGGGTTTCTACTATGGCAACAGACGCCGCCGATATGTGTCAAGTTAGCTAATGCTACGCATAGATGGCGCAGAGATACAGAGTTAGATGAAGTCAGTTTAGTAGCTTTAGAGATATTACAGATATTTGAAATCGATTAGTTAAATTACTTTTTTTGTCTCCATATAGGATCGAACGGTGGATAATTATTATTACAATGAAATACCAATTGGCCAATGACCTCTGTCATTGAAAAATACAGTTTGCAGAGTAAACTTTTAATTTATATCCATCCAATCTGTGTTTTGGCTATTATTATTAATGTCCGCGCGGGCGGCTTCGAGCCCGTGACACTCTGAGGCCTTTCTTTTATAGAAGGTGGGTGGGGATCGAATTATTTTCGTCAAACTGTATGTATTTTAAATGCTTTAAATGAAATTGAAGAGCGTTCAACGGACTAAAAGAAGCTTATCCCAACATCATCATATAATTTTATCTTGTATATAATTTTAAAAAATTGTATAAGATAAATATCCTGAAGTGGATTTTTAAATCTTGTCAAACAGCCTATTAAAATGCGTCATATTTGCGCTTGAATCTATATATATAAAAATGAAACCCATTTTCCGTTGTCACGACATAACATGAAAACGGCTTGACAGATTTGTCTAATTTTTTTTAAATAATATTCCTTGAAGTACGAGGATGGTTCTTACGGAGAGAAAATTTAAAAAAAATGAGTGAAAAATCCTAAAAACAATTTTTCTATATTCCCATACAAAATATTCGTAAAGTCAATTTGAACTTTAATACCATATTATAAAGTTCAAGTGTTAGTGGAGGGGTTCCGGGAAGGTAAATTTTTATTTTTTGACATAATGTATTTGTTCTCTTATCAACTTTCTTTTTTTATCTTACTAGCTAGACCCGTGTCCCGAATAGCAGAATAAGTTTTTAAAAAGAAATAAAGGCGTTAGGCGGTACGATGTTCGCCAGGCCAGCTAGTTATCAATAAAATATTTTGAAAATTCACACGGTAAATCAAATCTTGTATAAATAAAAAACCCGAATTCTGGGTATTTAACTAAAAAGATAACGTTAAACTAAACAATGATTTAAATGTCGCTTAACTCGTGTCGGAGACTTCGCAATGGCGGACTCTAAAGACCAAGAAGAAGTAAGATAAAATAGTGTTTGTTAGGTTTTATTTGGTGTTGGCAGTAGTTACTCTGGGCTGACTATTAATAATTTTCGATATTTGAGGCCAACGAGCAGTTTACCGTCGCCCATAGACACCAACAACTGCCCTGGCTATGCAAGTTGGATGAACATTTCAAAACGTTGGGGACTTTAATATCTTTTACTACTAAACTTATTATATCGCATACGTACGTATCTAAGTACTCTACATTTGGAGTAGGTATTTTTATGCCATCACTTAGGGAGCGTTCAAGTATTATGCAACGAATTTGGTGGGGGGGGTTCCTTTTGTAAAACGTTACGTTGGGGGCGGGGATTGAATTACGCGTTATTGTTAATATTTTGTTCGACTTTCCAGTACTTTACACCACATAATGGTAACTTTTAGGTATAGAGTCACTAGGTGGCCACGAAACGTGCTACTATTGGGTACAGAAAAACGTTACGGCGCGTCACATGGGGAGGGGGGGTCAATAATCTCCAAAAATTGCGTGACGTAATACTTGAACGCTCCCTTATCTGAAGTAAAATTATTTTTAAGAAACAATCGCAATGACCAATAGAACATTTTGAAAAGGACCAGTTGGGGGTTTTATTCCATGCTGCTATATTTCTACTACTTAGGTTATCTGAAGTAAAGTTATTTTAAGGAAATAATCACATACTTAGAATTAACATGCCAAATGATGTATCGTTGCCAACTTCACTGATAAGATTCTTATATATCAAAAAGCCCAAAGCTAGAAAGTAAAGAAACATATTTATGTGATTTCATTATTTTCTTGTTCTTGTTATGTGAGTACGAAACTTACTTCAAACGCTCCAAGAACAGTAAAAATTATCTTAGTTAAATATCATCTAAATTATTATTAATGATTATATGCTGCCATCTAGTTATTGCACAACAAAGAAGGGTTACTTGTATTCGTTGATTGTATTGTAAGACAGCAAAAGCCAAAAGCCTTAAAATAATATATACGAAAAATAAGTAGTATAATTATTAGGAACAAGACAAGTTGATGGATTAAATAAAGAAGGCTTTACAAACTAAATGGAGGTGTGCACTGTGCAGGTCTCTAAAAAAGACTCAAAAACCAGCAGTGCGCCATCCGAACGACAGCGTGCCAACCGTCCGTCCAATGACATTGGAATTAAATGGCCAAGCACCCAAGATTAATTTAACTAATTGAAAACAATTATTAACACTATTAATCTAATTTAAGTTACTTTCTAACACCAACTCATAAATAGTGAAATATAACAGGGCCGTTCAAATATTTTAGTAAGCAGATTTACTGCAATTTATCCCTCCCCCTTCCTTTTGTCGGCAAAAGTAAGCAAAGCTCTCAAGAATAATAGTACATAACGTATTAATTTTTTGTAGGAATCCCCGAAAATGCATTTCGTTTTCAAGCATAGACAACGTGTTGCTCGATAGACGAAAAATATGGCACAGAGCGCGCCACGCTTTTTCACAATAATACCAGTATTTTTTGTTCATTACCATTTTCAGCATAAATTAGGAATTATTTTTCACTTTTTAGTTTGATGTGCTTTAAAAGCGTGTTTTTTTAAACTATATTTATTTTCCACTTTTTAGTCCTAGCAGCAATACGTGTTGTCTCAATTTAATCGTATTGCTTTGTGGACTTAAAAAAATTTTCATTGTTTTTTCGAGATAAACCTATGAAATTATTATTTTGTCGCTGATTCTTTATAAGTGTACAAAGTTTGAATTAAATCTGTCCGTTTAATGTGGGTCAAAATCGAGTCCGAAGGAGTCGGTTACCTATACATACATATAGGTGAAGCAAATATAAAGCGTGTAAAAATTAAATAATTACTGTTGACGTAATCACCAACCAAGAAAATCCCTGAAAAGAAGAAAGTCCCTAAATTAGTTGAAATTTTAGGGTGAATAAAAAGCTTAGTAATCACTCAAGTATAATTCTTAATATTATTAGATTTTATACAAAGTTTAATTTTACAAAATAATATGCAAAAGAAAAGTTACTTCTATTGACATTGTACTTAATTAAATTTACAAAAGGCTCCATTAATTATTTAAAAGCAAAAAATGTTTTTGATCTGTCATCGAAACCTATTTCCCCGAATCGAATGACTCTGTCGCAACCACCTAGCTTAATTAGCCGTTCAATTAACAGCCTAGCCTTTTACGAAGGTTACGTACCTTCGTAAAGGGCTATTCTTTATGCTACTGTCATCTAATATATCACATCACGTCACGTCATCACGTCATCACGTCACAGTTTTCGTTGCCATACTCCTCCGAAACGGCTTGACCGATTTTGATGAAATTTTTTGTGCTTATCCGGTATCTATGAGAATCGGCCAACATCTATTTTTTATCCCCCTAAATGTTAGGGTTAGTCCACCCCTAAATTTTATTTTTAATTTCAATTTTTTTAGGATACAGCATTAAAAAATACATACAACCCCTAATTTTCACCCCACTACGATCAACCCCTATTTTTTATTATAAATGGTATACATGGCAAAACGACGTTTGCCGGATCAGCTAGTTATTTCTATAATATCTTTTAGTAATGTCGTTGTCCTAAGAGACTTCCAATATTCCACACAGTGTCAGAAACAGTATGAAGTATGCCCTCAACAAGATTTGGTCTGTATGCTCTATAATAAGGACCAAACATAGCGTTTTGGTATTGTTGTTGCATGTTGTTGTAATACGCGTACGGGTTGTACATGTTGTTATTTAAGTTGTAATTGTTGTAATTTATATTGTAATTGTTGTTGCGGGTGTCTACGTAATTGTTTACTGTAGTTGGCGTCGCTGAAACAAAAAAGTATGAGGCGTTTTACTAGAGTATTTAAGACTTCAATATAAGTTAGTCTTCAGTAAAAATTTTACTCGAAGACTGGACATCATCATCATCATCAGAAAATCTTTTCGTTCAATCGTTTTATCGTGTATCGTGCGATAAACTGGGAAGTCACTACATTAGGAATCTGGGATACACGTATCATAACAGTTGCCAATCTAATATATAAAATTCTCGTGTCGCGGTGTTTGTGGTTAAACTCCTCCGAAACGGCTCGACCGATTCTCATGAAATTTTGTGTGCATATTGGGTATGTTTGAGAATCGGACAACATCTATTTCATCCCCCTAAATGTTAAGGGTAGTCCACCCCTAAATATTTTTTTTTCTTTTTAATTTTTTTTTCTGTTTTTATTTTTTTATGATACAGCATTAAAAATAAATACAACCCCTAACTTTCACCCCTCTACGATCAACCCCTATTTTTTATTATAAATGATATACATGGCAAAACGACGTTTGCCCGGTCAGCTAGTAAAATATATAATTATATGTGCAACCTGGCAAAAATATATAGAGTAAGATTCGTGACTTAGCGCTGACTATTACATCCGTATCTCAAATTCCAAATACGTTTTTGACATTCAGGAGTTTTACTTAACCTACCTCCATTGTTAGCTTGACAGGCCACCACCAACAGCGAACAGATGAACGCAACCAACCTGGAAAAAAAGATCCTATTTGTAGATTAAAAGCAGACCTCATGGAGCTACACAAAGTCTAGTGGCTTCAGATTGCATGCTTTGATCTTACACTGCATAATTTGTGCCTTACAATTTTCTGATGTTTGAGTCAAACTAATCCGACTCCAGTAGGGTTAAATCGTTATGGATTTTGACAATATGACAGATGATTTTTCCCGGAAAGAAAAGTTCAAAGCCATTCTACCGATAGTTATTTGCAAGTCTCTGTAAGCCGAAAAGAAAAGACTTTTTCGTGGTAGCCGGATATGGTTGAGTTCCAGAGAAAAGTGTAGAGGTTGATAATGCCTGCAAAAAAATCAGCGACAGTATGTCAATATATCCAAAATAGTAAACCATAACTATCATAAAAATTTATAATTTATTTCAAATGCGCAATTGGTAGTAATAAATTGATTTCAAAATGAAAATAGATACTTTTATAACTTTTGGTATTTAAAGTAGATAAAATATCTTTCACGCTACATCATTTGGAGAAATTTTATTTTAATCCTGCACAGACGAATCAGCGAGCACCAGCGAGTATTACATACATCTATCATATAAGTCTATCTATTTGTCTGTTCGAGATAAACTGAAAAACTTCAGCACGGAATTTATTGCAGTTTTCGCCAAAATCAAGAATGATACATGAGGAAGGATCATATATATTTCATGGTTCTAATAACAACCAATAATTAATTATTACGCTTGATTTCAATATTTTAACCACTCCAGTTGTACTTTTTTCTATTTAAAATCAATGGATGGCAAACGTTTGGGATATAAGATATCTTTGTACATCTGCAAAATGTGAAAACCAGAATAAAACTTACTTCATAATAATAATATGAGGATAATTGACACTAAACAAAACACGAGACCAATCAAATGACAAGAACACTGTATAATGTTTATCAAAGCAAATTTATTCCCGAGATATATGTAACTAGCTATTGATTACAGACCTTACTTGATGGCTTTATATTAAAGTAATGTTTGCAACGAACATTAACTAACCAAAATATGTCGTCGTCGTCGGCGGCTCGGATTTCTGTATCTCTTTCTAGATCAGCCACTTGACATACGCTGTAGAGTTTTGGGTATGCCTACTTCACTATCTTTTATTCCACAGTACAAGCGAGTGTTACTTGCGCACTTGGAAAGAGATGTCCACTCCACACCAAATAGAATATTCTTGTTCCCCCACATCGTTCACTGGGCATTTTTGATTGTTTTGTGGTGGTTTTAACATTTATCATCATGAGACCGTTACCATGAGTTGGGATAGCCTTTAAAGAAATCCTTCCCATATCTCAGCACCATCTCTTTGGACACTTGATGCACTAGTCCGAATCTGTTGACAAAGCCAATAGTCATCAAGATCAGTTTTAACTGCAAAGTTGCTGGTGGTGGATATACGATTGTCGCCATGTCCTTGATCGCAGGAGGTTCACAACTTGGACCTCGCCTCGCTCCTTGACGCCTGTTAGACGCCTCATATTTGTTTGAGACGAAGCTATAGCTCCAGCTGCTATACCTTTATAAGCTTTCGTCTGTAGGATGTGAATTCCTACGTTCCTTAAAGAGAACTTGAAAACTACGATGATTGCAGGTATCTTCTTCTCTCATTACTCAGTCCATTTTTTATATATTTATATTTTAATAAATACTCATTCTTTGTCATATTGTTTATATATCTCGGGGTTCATGACGTTGTTCTGGGGTTATCTGCGGTAAATTTATTTTTAAGGAAAACGTAGCAATTTTACGTTTGGACATTCCAAATGATAAAGATGTTTATATTTATGAAGCAAATAGCTGACTTATCGGCATACCAATAAAAAGTTAGAAAACATAATATTTCTTGAGATTTCATAATTTCTAATCGTATTTAATAATAATTATAATAATAATTAAGCCTCATTTATTCCTTGAAAAATTTACAAAAAGTTACAAAATATACACACACACATAAAATACATACATATACAATATAAAAAAAAAATTTTTTTTTTTTTCCAAGGACCTCTTATTGAGTATAGGCCTCCTCCAATTGACTCTATCTCTCCCAATCCTCTCACCCACTTTCTTAAGCTCGTCGGCCCACCGTGCAAAAGGGCGACCACGCTTTCTTTTTCCTGGTGGCCCTTTCTTTTGTCCATCTGCCATTATTCATTCGAGCGGTATGGCCCGCCCATTTCCACTTAAGTTTTTTGCAATAGGACAGTGCATCAATAACCTGTGTTTTATTTCTTATTTGTGTATTTCTGATCTTGTCCTTCAGTTTTAAATTGAGTATACTGCAGTACTAATCGTATTTATTATTACAAATTTAATAAATTAATTCAAAAGGGGCGTGTACGTCATTCTGCATTCTGTTGGAAGCCGTTTCCTACTTCTATCATAAGCTTCATCCTTCATTCCTGCACCATAGCACAATCATAGAGCCTGGACAAAATCAAATTGGTTGCTGATTTTTTGCTTTTACACATTTTTATTATTTTTTTTAATTTATAATACTACAAAATGTAATTATTTTATTTTATCTCACACACTGTTTTATTGTGTTTTTTCTATTATTTTTATTACTCTTTAATGTATAATTCTACGGTTTCGATATTTGTAAATATGTGAGGAACATGTACACTAACTTTTTATTAGTATAGTAGTTTTATTCTAACAGTTCGTTGTCTTCACATATAATTATTTAACTAATGCATACAAAATATTGTAAACCGTTTAAAAGAGTAAGTGTGGAGTTTCTTGCCCATTCTTCTCCACACGAAACTACCTTTTGGAAGGGGCAACTAGAATCTTCTTTATATTTTATTTGACGTTCAAAGGTGCCATTTTAGATGGTCTAATTGAAATAAATGATTTGACTTTGACTTTCATACCAGGGATCCAGTATTCACGACAGTTTAATTAATAATAAAAACCGTATCCAGTGACTTGACTTAATGTTCAACCCCTAGATGGGATTGAGGGCATCCACTGTGGCTCTCCTTCTTGATCCTTATATTTCACCTCTCGCCAAGTCTTTTGGCGAACTGTACGAAGCCAGGTTTGGTTGGAATGGCCACGCATCCGCTTTGCCTATTCACTATTTACTGTCTATAGTTTATTAGTAAAATTACCGATTTGATTGTTGTTATGAATGTATTGGTAAGTATCCAGTACCATAAGTTATTCTGTGGTATGCACAAGAACTTTATGACCTTGATAAAATCCGTTATCAGTAAAAAAACACATTTTTGTTTTATTTCTAACTATAAAACAATTTAATAAAATGGGCAGATATCTAATGTAGGTTGATAAGGTTACTTTTTATCCGACATCAAAAACCGAACGAGTTATGAATTTGACATCCGACAAAAGCGGCACAGCCGTCCGGGGAACGATGTTCGATGTGTCAAATGATTCCAATTTTCAAAGAACATATCCTATATACAGGGTTTTGTGTCAGAGAAGTTTTCAGGATTATTCATATTATCTCCCTAGCTCCTTCCACTTGACCGTATTCAACTTTCCCGAAGTTGATCTGCATCTTCTACCGCACTTACCGAGAGAGAAAGAGGAATGAATTCAGAGGAGTTGTTGGGATAATACCTGCAGTTAAGTTACATGAAAGGACGTCGACGCAGAATTAGAATTTTCACCTGCATCACCTCGACGTCGTTTCACTACTGAGCGAGATTTAAGGCAGTTTTTGGGGCGCACTACCACTTTGTGGAACCAGCTACCCACTGAAGTATTTTTGAGCCCATTCGACTTAGGGTCCTTTAGGAAATGAGCGTACTAACGCAACGCACTCGCGAGCTCTTTGGCATTGCATTGGGATGGTATCAATACCATCAGATGAGCCTTGTGCCCTTTTTTCCCCCTGTTCTGAAGCATTACTGACTGAAATGTCATGAAAAATAGTTAATTTTGCTTATAGGTTATTGTTTCTTGTTTTCTTTATCATAATAATTGGATCATAATTGATCTGATTTCCAAAAAATATTCTAACATAAATATTCAAACAAATTAAATAATCGTTGAATAAATTAGAATTTAATTCTCTCATACAAGATTACTGACTTGTATTTTGATCTTTTAGGAATAAATAAAATAACAGTATTTTGATAACTTTATTATACAAAATTTAACCACATAATAAGCTCATTAACAAATTTCTTAAACTATTTGAATACAATTTGAAAATTTAACTTAAAATATTTTGTTATGAAAAGTGACAAATGACTGAAGAAGCTAAACAGTTTTTAAATAAAAACGGTTAATGTGGAGGTAAGAAGGTGGTGGTCTTTCATGGATCTTCCTTGGAAGGATCTTCGACTAGTATATATATCTTTAATCGGAATAATATAATAGCCGCAGATTGTAGGTTGGTATTTATTTAATATAACTAAAAGATAAATGGTAAAACTATCTATAATATTGTTGAAAATTGTTATTATAATTGAAATAATTATAATTTATATTCATATTAGTATTTGATGTTCTTACATAATTATTAACGGTAATGGGTGAATTAGAAGATTGGATTACATCTGTTAAAGCACAGCATTCTTCTCCATTAGGGCACACCATTTGTATTGTCCTGAAAGTCGAAATGAAACGTTAAATACAGATAATTATGCGTCATTATCAGATAGGTACTGACAATATACAACAGGTCCTAATCATGTACGATAAACAAATATTGTTTTAAACTGAATTAAGTGTTAAGAGAAATTAAAACCATTATGATATAGCGTGAAAGACATATTTTGTCTACTTTAAATACCAGAAGCGATAGAAGTATCTATTTTCATTTAGGAATCAAATTATTACAACCAAATGTGCATCAATTATGATATGTTTATGTTATGTTTCCCTATTTAGGCTATAATGCCTTACACATAAGATATAGATATATACTGTGACTTTTTGATAGGATTATTGAAGATAAACATTTCCATCATACATTACATATGTGTAGCTCTAGCAGTTTTGGCAGCGCACGCCATAATAGTTCGCATATGGTAAATTATTTGCTACTTACTTGCTATTTTGAATAATTTACACAATATCTTTATAAATTGTATCCTATATATTATTCTGTATAAGCTATATTATTGTAAAGTTTCATTAAAATCCATTCAGCCCTGCGATTCTGTAACTCACTTTTCGAACTCACACAGCGGTTTTCGCATCGGCGGTCGCTCTCAAATCAGTCGTGAAGCAGTCATTTTATGATTTGGCATTCTGAAAAGGTGGGAAATTGTAGTTTATTGTTAATCAGAATGCCAAATCATAAAATGACTGCTTCACGACTGATTTGAGAGCGACCGCCGATGCGAAAACCGCTGTGTGAGTTCGAAAAGTGAGTTACAGAATCGCAGGGCTGTAGTTTTTACGTGAAGGAGTAACAGACATCCATAGCCTTAACCAACGTGACGTTTGTTCTTGGAAAAATTTCTTTGCGTTGCATGATTATAAGTCTTGACTCAATTCTTTCCCTAAGTGGGCTTTTTAATTACAGTCAAAACTGATCTTAGTATAATAAATTAAATACACGTGCCTGTAAACACTCAAGTTACCAAGGTCCGGTGCCTTACATTGTCCTGGTTTTACACATTTCCCTATCGAACCGTCTGACATGTTGCACACTGGAAAAAGTAATTTAAAGAGATTTAAAGGTGAGGGAATCTTTTTGTTTAATAGATTTTTGCTATCACATACGTCGCAGTCAACTAGCTTAATAAGCCGTTTAATTAACAGGCTAGCCTTTTAATTAAACAGCGCCGTTTAACTAGCGGCCTGAAAGAAATTCAGTTACAAAGCCGTAGCGTTTGTTACAACATTTCATAAACTGGCTAGCTAATGCTTTCGTACGATAGAGTGATCATGTTGCAGACACAAAAGAGATAAAGATATCAGAAGAGATGTCAGAAGCATCTGACATAAGAAAATATTTCTTTAAAAATTCGATTGCTTGAGTCTTCTTCTTGAAGTGCCTCTCCACTACTGGAGGTTGGCGGTCAGCTCGTCATACTCCTTCTTATTTTTCGCCAAGCGCATCAGCCGTTCTACGCTGGCCACTCCCGTCCATTCTCTAATATTGCGGAGCCACGAGTTTGAGAGTGGCAGAAAGTGGAACTAATATTAATTAACAGTCAATAGGCTAAGCAAGTTTTGATTATCGATCCAAGTGTTTACCTAGCTGTTTGATCAACTGGCTGGATATCTTTCAGGCTTTCTAGTGAAACGGCGCTGTTTGGTTTAGAGGCTAGGCTGTTGATTGAACGGCTAATTGAGCTAGTTGGCTGCGACATACATGCTAGCTATGATCAATGTGTGTTTTATTGAAGAGAGTATCCATCGGTTGGTTAAAAGATATACTTCGGCACTCGGTTTGTATTGTCAACTAATTGTTAGTTTGTTTT